AAGAAAGTAAACCCATGTTTATCGAGTTGCATGATCAATAAAAAGAGCAAAATACTTATATCCAAGTCGGGAAGTGGTGGGACTAGGTCCCCAAAGATCGGTGTGGATCAAATCAAAAGGTTCTGAGATAGTGGTTTGACTGGATGGAAAAGTGAGTCTACTAGAATAACTGTTGCTTGAACATAGATTCAAATCAAAAGGTCCTCCAGGATCAAATCAAAAGATTCAAACCAAATAACTGTTGCTTGAACATAGAAGTGAGTCTACTAGAATTAGGATGACCTAATCTAGCATGCCATAACCGAAACGTTTTATCAGGAAGACTCGAAAAAACAGTAGGAAACGAGGTACGAGGTTGGACGGTGGATGATGATGTAGATGATGGTGGTCGCAGTTGCTCCAAGAAAAATAGCCGTCCCTTCTTGCTACCCCTGCCGATCTCCCTCCCGGTCATCGGATCCTGTACAACACAGCCAGAGGGTGCAAACGTAACACGATAGCCTTGGTCAGTAAGCTGACCCACAGAAACTAAATTAGGAACCAATCTCGGCACATGAAATGTTGACGAAAGCTCAATATCCGAACTAGTAACCTCCCCCATATGCGAAACATGTAACTTCTCACCATTAGCAATATGAAGTGACATATTATTAACAGGTTTAACGTTTGTAAGATCAGAAATATCCCCTGTCATGTGATTAAAGCAAGCCGAATCGAGAATCCATTTAGGGATCTTACCAGAAACTTGTAAACTTGCAAAGGCAGAGGAGATTGCCTTGTTGACAAGTTGTTCAAGGGTTGCCGGTGTCACAAGCATGGCGTCCGATCCAGCAGCCTCCCCGGCAGGTTGCGTTGCGTAGGCCGGAAGAGAAGGTGGTGCGCCCTGGCGAGCTGCCGACCCTCCACTCCGATCCCCAGCATCCCGATTCCTTCCTTCCAAGGCGGGGCACTCCGAAATTATATGCCCCGTCTTTTTACAGTAATGGCAATAATTCCTCTTGCGACAATATTTTTCGTATGGCCGCAATCATGGCAGTGGAAGCATTCGACGTCGGCTGAGGAGACTCGACGCTGAAAGGGCGCACGGTACGCGGCATACGCGGAGTCACCTGAATCTTCTCGAGCACTGGAGGGCTTCCCTTGACCAGCACCTGGACTCGCTCCAGCAGCAGCTACAGACGGTGGTTGGAGCTGAACAGGGACGACGCTGAAGACCCCGTCGCCGGCGCCAGGTCGAGCATCCAACGTAGCTTGCGTGCGTAGCCGGGTTTCCTCTTGAATCAGAGACCCCAAGACACCTTCGATCTTCAGATTGTCACGATTCAGCAGTGTTGCGCGGATGTTCTCGTACTCCGGATTTAAGCGCATCAAGAACTGCATCAGTCTCATCTTCTCTCTCGCCTCCTTGACTTCTGCCGATCCCGCTGACGTGAGGAGGGACGCCATGACAAGATCTTGCTCGGTCCAAAGGTTGCGAGCTGCATTGTAATAAGAAGTCACGTCCAGGTTGCCTTGAAAGAGGCGAGAGAGCTCCACCTCAATCTCATATTGGCGCGACGCAGTAGCTGTGCGATAGGTGTCCGCCAAGTACTTCCACATTGCGGCAGAGTCAGGAAGCATCCGCAGGCCTAAAAGAATGGTAGCGTCGACCGAGTTGAGTAGGGGAGTGCGGACCTTGGTGTCGTTCATGGCCCACTGCTGCACCTCTTGCGCTGTCGCCGGTGGTGAGGTCGGCCTAGCCACCGTTCCATCAAGCCATCCTAACAAGCCCTTCCCTTCAATCAATGTTCGAAACTGAAACTCCCATACAACATAGTTCTTGGAATTGAGACGTGCGGTGATCTGTTCTGACGACATAGGCTCTGATACCATGTTAATCGAGACAGGAATATCGAAACAGAAACGTAAATTGACACACAGAGTTACGTGGCTTCCTCGTTCAGTATGAACGAGACTAGTCCACGGCCGAAGCTATTGTATCTCTTATTCAGCTTAGCTTCGATAGGTTCCGTTACATCCATATATATACAAACTAGGGCACAAACCCTAGACATATCTCGGCTAACCCTGGGAAACCCATAGCACCGAAATATGGGTGGCTAAGGCCCAATTACAACACTTAACACATGGTAAATTAATTCCCCCTGGTCATTCTCGGTACATGGGAAAACAATCAATTAGTGGGGTTCTCTTCTTACTTACCCATTTAAAGTTACTAATAATAATATTAAGTGGATGTAAACCTAATCCAAATGGTAGAAACTCCTGGGGTCAAGTTATGTCTCATACAATTATAAGTTTAACTACGTACTTCTGAAATAATTTTACTCTCAATACCAACCTTCAAGATTTAACTCATTATTTAACGTATTATGAAACCCACAGAGATAGGGGTGGACAATTCCTCCCCTCTGAAACAAAATTTCGTCCTCGAAATTTAATTGAAACATGTAGGAGTGATGAACGTTCATATCTTTCTCACCTAATTTGTCATCAACATCACCTCCATCATTAGTATGCCACCCATATCAAATTAATTTCAGTTCTCAATTCATCATTTTGATTTCTTCTATATTTCTCAGGCTGCATGACACTAAATCAAGTATCTCTTTTACTCAAATTACAATTTAGGAGACATGTGTCTATAAGACTCCTCAAACTTGAATACATTTGCACTAAACATACATAATGTTAAAACTTAAAACCCTTTAGGCGGTCACCTGAGCTTTATATTTCTTCCACTGTAAAGGTTCACAAAATCTTAAACGGTGTATTATTCCTCAAAGAGGCGATCAATAATGGTATTCCATTCATTACTCAATGGATTCCATATCACAGTCTTCATTCAATTTTTTTCCCCTATAAAAATAAATAAATTCACATTAATCTGTCATCACTTCCATTCATAACTTTTCCAAATCAATATCCACCATTTTTTTTTTAGTATTTTATCCCAAAATTAATCTAATATGCTACTTTGGTTCCTATATATATATATATATCATGGTTTACACTCCCAAGATTTTGTTTATAAATTTAATTTCGTTCAGTAATTAATAGCTACTGAAACTCAAACTATATCGATTCGGAACTCCATTTCAATTCTCACGTCACAAGATTGTGAATTTTTGTTAACTTCATGCTCAAGTACTCTAATTCCTCTTTGTCATTTCCATAGCGCCATCTAGAAGATATTCAATAACACAATTATAATTTCATGAATACTTTCATCCCATGCTTAGCCTTTTCAGTCAATAAAACAGTTTAAAGTTGTATGCTAACATTGAACTCATGCCACAACAATGTTGGCCCAAATTTTGTCAAGATAATCCCCATTGTCATGCTATGTTCAGGGTCATATTTCTAACATGATTTAGGTTGCATAAAGGTATAAGAGTCAAGTATCTTCGCAACTCATGAGGATTTCCTTCTTATATTGACCAGATATGTCACAAACTTCTAATTAATTCCGACAATCTATTTATAGCGGCAGACAGCAATTGTGCTAATTTATTCAATCCCTCAATCGATTAGATTCTACAAGATATTTTCTTTCTTTCTTCTAGTTATTCATTACGCATGCGTCACTTAACTGTTTGATGCTCCACTCACGTTCTCTATGATTTATTTCTTGTCTCCTCGTCTTTCTTATCCAATGAGTTTCCTTTATATACATTACTCCTCTTTCTATCCCTCAAACCTCTAGCTACAGAATCCCAAACTCTATTACGCTCGTTCTCTATATGTCCTTAGCTTCTTAACTTGATCGTTAGCCCCAACCCTATCAATTATCCAACTTTCCATCTTCTGAAAACGATCTTCCCCAGTTCATTCTTCATGATTCACATTCATATCAGTAATCCTTTTATTTCTAGTTGTACTTCTTTGCCTTAAATTTAAGAATTTAGTATTACTCATTTCCTTCTTCAACTTATGGATGACCCTGACTTCATCATTCGAGAAATTAAATTCAAAATTCACATAATTGTTTTACTTTTGTGTGGTTTATGGAACTTTATCCATTTGAAAAGACATTTTCAGAAGGTAGAACGCAAGCGTCAATTTTTCCTGGAGCGTGAACCATGGAGGAGCAGGATATTACCTCGAATTCAAGCTCTCAAGAATCAAAATGGCGGATCTGGAAAGGAAAGAAAAGATGGAAGAAGGTGAAGGAATCCTTCGATAACAAAGAATTCAGTTGATGGCAGAGAAACAAGGAAAACAGCGAACCTTTGTATCAAAATGCTGTTAGCTCTGACTAGCAAAATTGTTTGCAAATTGATCGAAGAAACGGGAGAGTGAGTCAGAATTTCATCTTCATTGGCTTGGCTCTAGTTTTAGTCGCTAGAAGGATTGATCTCGCTTCTCGCAGAGTCGCAGAGAGGAAGGAAGGAAGGAAGGAAGAAGAAAGAGAAAAAGAGGCGGGGAAATGTCTCTAACAACGGCTATTTACATTATGGTACTCGGACGGACAAATTTTGGTCCTCATTTTACATGGACTTTCAGCCCACCTAACATTACCCATTAGATGTGAAAGGCAGACAAGTTAGGATATAAATTACTATAGGCCAGACATCTCTTTCCTAGCCCAAACCGATTTGGCTGATCAAATTACCCGCAGCAATTAACATCGTCTTTGGGCCTTTGTGCGCACAGTTAACGGGCCTAAAGGGTTGATCCGGCCCACTTGAAGGACACCTATCGCCAGTTCGCCACCTTTCCCTCTTAAATCCCGCCAAAAATGTCTATTATATATCTCACCGGTCCCCGCGATCAAAATTGTCTTTGAGACTTAGGGGTCGTTTGGAAGTTGCGATTGTTATTGTTTATAATGCATCGTTTTTTGTTTTTTGTTTTTTTAGCAGAAACAATACATGGATTGTTTCTATGATGTGACAGAAACTATCACTCATTTTGACTGATTGTTATATCTCAACTTTTAGTTGTGATTGTTGAGATTGTTTTGTCTCAACTTTTAGCTGATACGACATACACAATCACACATACCAAACGTTGTATTCTACAATGCATCAAATTCGACAATACATGTATAATATTATACATGCATTCTCAACAATACATCTATTTAACAATCGCAACTTCTAAACCACCCCTAGTGTGCAATCACAATTCACAAAGCCCAACAAAATTGCTTTTTGTTAAACGAAACTACGAAATAAAGTTTTTTTTGTGAGAAAAACTACGAAATAATTGTTTAGCGAGGGAGAAATAATTGGCAGGTAAAATAGATATTAAGTACTACAAAATACAAATCATAAATTCGCCCAGTTTTTTAGAGGTACTAATTAACGCACCAGAGAGGATTGAACTCGGACTTCCAGGGTAAACGGCGCAACGATGGCGACGGGGAATGTAGTGACGGTCGTCCAGGCAAGATTTCTTTCCATTTCAGATCCAGGGCGAACGACAGCTTTGGGGCTCACCATCACTCCTCCCTTCGCCCCCCACAACTGTAGAGACGATTGAACTTTGACTTCCCATGCGACGGACTGCCAGGGCGAAGGGGGGCGACGGTCATCCAGGGCGAACGGCGGGTTTCGGAGAACGCCGGCGGGGGAGGAGTTGGCGACGGTCATCCAGGGCTAACTGCAGGTTTGGGGTGCCTGATTTGGATATTAGGGCGTATTTGGAGATTAGGGCGTACGTTTTGGGAAGTTAGGGGTAATTTTGTCCGTTTGGTTAATTTAAGGTGAATATTTTAAAAATTTAGGGCGTTAAATAGGAATCCAGTTAAATAATTTACTACATTACAAACAAAGAGAAGTCAGCATAATTTTTAACGATTTTAACTGTCGCCACTTACCTGTGGTTTTCCAACAGTTTTTTATCGACTATCGATCGTACCCGATTGTACCGACCAAACCATGGAAAAAGTGAGAAAACAAACGTAGTAAAGTGAGAGTGAGAAGTCGAGAAAAATCACCTAAAATTAAGATGTGAATTTTTAGTTTTGAGTCATCTACTCTAGATCACTCAAATAAGCCACTGAATCAATCGCAATTTCGTACATTTTTCAAAAGTGGGGTAAAAGAAAACATAATAAATTTGTGGACTCATCAAAGTATAATCGACTTCTCACACGTAGGACAGAGTTTAACAAAATTGAATAATCGATAATTGAAATGAGATTTAAAGTGAACAAACTAATAAACAAGAAAATATTTTCAGATCCAAATGTAAGGAAGTAAAATTGAGGGATTAAAAGTGTAATCTATTTAGTATTTACTGCAACGGGAAGATAATGGTTTATTTGTAATCTTGTTCTTCGTGGCTGCGAAACTGAGTCGACCGACTGTAAAGTGTAAACTAAAACCGGGAAAAATCCCAGAATACTCTAATCATTAAATTTTTTTTTCCTAAATACAGTACTTATAAAATTATTTCCCAAAGTACAGCAGTTTCAACATCACTGTCGACGATGAAGACAGTGATTATAATCACCGTTTTTGTCCAAAACGGTCATAGCATCACCGCTTTAGACTAAGATAGTGATGCTATCATCGCTAAAGAGGAAAACGGGGAATCAATCCCACGCGTTCGTGAAAAACGGGGATAGTGTGACCGTTGATAAGGGAAACGGTGAAGCAATTTTAACCGTTGATGTCAAAAACGGTGAAGTGGCGCGGATCGCTGACGTGGACGCGCGCGGGCACTTCACCGTTAATGACAAAAGCGGTGATAGCCCCGCCCGCCACGTCACCGAACCTTGTCGTCCGCGCCCTTCACCGCTACCGTCCGATGCGGTGAGGCGCGGATTGTGGTTTTTCTCCACGATCCGACGCCTCACAGGTCGCCACGTCAGCGATCCGAGCCATCACTGTTTTTCTTCAACGCGGTGAGTTCACCGCTTTTGTGCAACGCGGTGATTGGTGCCCTGAAATTTCCAGCGCCCCTTCCCCCTATAAATACCACTCCCCCCCCCCCCCCCCCCCCCTCATTCCAAACCACACCACCATTTATACTTCTTTCTCTCTCCGTTACTTCACTCTAGTTTCGTTCTAAGTATGCTCTGTGGTTGCGGCTAAGTCCGATCTTCCGCATCAGAAAGAATTACTAGAGTTTTTGTTTTGTCGATACTCTCTCTAGCTTTTCGGCAAAAAATGGACGGAGAGGCTCTGAGAGTACGTAAATTTATTTATTTTTTCTTTTGTGATTTTTTTAAATGGGTGCTGAAATATAAATTGATTTGATTTCTTATTTTTTTTATAGATGGGTGCTGAGATATACGACCCTCGATTGTATATCGATCCTGGCCCAAGGGATCGAAGGTATTTAACCGGGCAAGATCAGCATCGCTCCCGTGCAATTTGGAACAATAATCCGGTAGACACTAAAATTATTTCATTAGTTTAAAAGTTTTTATTTTGCTTTCTATTGACTGACAACATTGTGTTTTTTGTTTTGTAGGAATCACTTATTCCCATCAGTCATCGAGGGACATGTCGATTGCCCAGTTGGCATGCTCGATTGGCGCCCTATCTAGAGAGGAAGGGATTGCACATGTTGAGGCACTTCATGAGGCTTGATATTGACAACGATCTGCTGACGGCAATGGCAGAGCGATGGCGCCCCGAGCTGCATACCTTCCACTTTCCCCAGGGTGAAATGACGATCACCCTCAAAGATGTTGCCATCCTCACCGGGCCCCCGATCACCGGAGATGCCATCATCGACAACTCGAGAAAACCGGAAGATGGTTGGGGGCCATTGATTCAAGAGCGTCTGTAGTTCAACATGTCGACCACTACGCCCGTCGAAGGGGTTGGGCATCCACCACTGAATGCGGGGCAAGTATCGATCCCGTGGCTTGTTGAACACATCCATGAGGAGGTTAATATAGGCTCGGACACTCCTGAAGATCAGGTGGAGCGGTATGCACGTGTCTACCTAATTGGCTTGGTTGGTGGGTTTCTGTTCCTCGACAAGGAAAACCGGTGATACAAGGCATGTGGTTACATATGCTCCTCGGTGACTGGGACGAGATCGGGAAAAAAAGTTGGGGGTCGACCGTCTTGGCTGGGATCTACCGAGATTTGTGTACTTGCTCGAGGTTGGGAGCGAAACAAGCTGGTGGTGCGATGTTCATAGTCCAGCTCTGGGCATGGGAGCATCTTCCATTTTTCACAACTCGAGACCCACGGGAATTCTGGTTGCCAGATGATGAGCTACGATTTGTAGAAAATCCCCCATATGGTTTCAAGTAAGTTAAATTTATTTTAGATATGCAATGGTAGTATTTTAGTGAATTTAGTTCTATTCCAAGTAAGCGAATTTAGATTCATTTTACGTATGCAATTATAGTATTTTAGTGAATTTAGATCGATTCCAAGTAAGCGAATTTAGATTCATTTTAAGTCTGCAATTATAGTATTTTAGTGAATTTAGATATTCCAAGTAAGCGAATTTAGATTTATTCTAACCAAATCGTATTGAGCGAATTTAGATTATTGCCAAGTAAGGAATTTTAGTTCAATTTAGATGCTTCCATAAAATCATACTTAACAAGTAAACATCTATGCTTTAAAAATTGCTTATATACGTACTTTTGATTAATTAGGTGGATCGGAGCAAATACAAACGATCAGCAGCCCGATCACTCTTTACTGTTTAATCGTACTGAATTTTACAAGCCTTGGTGGAACCAGGTAAAAATATAAAATTTCATTATTTTCAATTTTTTAGGTGGAGTGGATATAATTTGTACTAATTCCATGGACTATAATGATTGTAGGCGGTATGGATCCATATCCAAATGAAGTGGTTGAGTTGCATCGTCTTAGACATCCCGAGGATGAAGAGACATGATTGTGCAAGGTGCCCTTAATCTGCTGGCACATGGTGGAATGGCACCTGCTCGATCGATCTTTGAGGCAATATCGATTGGAGCAACCAATTCCAGCATCCCCACCTCAAGGGTTCAGGGAGCTCCACGCCATCGACCTACGCTACATCAAAAAGGATTGGGTCCGCAAGCATGAATTCTACATCAACATATGGGAGAATAGAGATAAGTGGGTGGTCCAAGGGGTGCCGGAGACGAGGCCAATGGGGTACCACGATGGGTACATGCGGTGGTATCGGAAATTCACGCTAAGATGGGTGTCAAAGCAAGGTGTTGTTTGGGGCACAGTGGTAAGTGAAATCCATTTTGCCCTCTTTGTCTAATTTTTTTGTAGTATGATTACATGCCTATATTAGCTAGAATGTTAATTAACATTATTAGATTTAATTTAGTTAATTTTGTACAAAAAAATTATTAGGTTGACGGTTTGGAACATGCCAAGCACACTGTCCCACCATGGATGAGCGGAATACATCTTTTTTGGTGAGGCTTTTCAACAACCTGCTCTCTTGTACCCGAGAGCAAAGGAGGGATGTCGTATTATACCCTCCAATGCCTGCTTCGGCCGACCTTCATTCCGTGATGATGAGAGGATCGTGCCCCCACAAGAGCCCCCGTGGAGGAGCAGAAGAAGGGTGAGAGCCAACATTGAAGAGCTTCATCCGACTCAACAAACTCAACTTCCTGAACCATGGCCACATTGTGAGTGGGCAACTAGTACTGAGGGCACCGGAGGGTCGTCAAGCTACGCCCCGACTCAGGAACATGACATGTTCACCCAAGGCACCCCTCACTTCCACCATCAGCAACAAACTCCTCGGTATTAGACCCTGCAACAACAACATACAACATCGACTTTCTACCACGCTTCTGGTTCATCTCAGCCACCTCAACCACCACCACCTGTGTACACTCCGGTGGGGGGTCGGGTTAAGAGGAATCCGCGAGCAGTTGTCCAGCGGGTTCGCGAAGAAGGAGGAGGTCTAGAAGGCGGAAGAAGGGGTCGCGGACGTCGTGGAGGAAGAGGAAGAGGAAGAGAAGGGGAAGTGGAAGGAAATGAAGACAACCAGTGAACTATCCATGTTTATCCATGAACTATCTATGTCGTCTTAATTTAGTTTGGTCTTGTGTTGTTTTCCATGGACTATCTATGTCGTCTTAATTTAGTTTGGTCTTGTGTTGTTTTCCATGAACTATCTATGTCGTCTTAATTTAGTTCGGTCTTATTTTGTATTTTACCACCCATGTTGTACCAAGATAAACAACATCCATCATCATTACAATCACTCAACAAGATTAAAATAAGAATTCCAACTTAAACATCACAACAACGAAGAATGACAATTAAATACAACACCTCAAGGTTGGTTCGGATTTGCCCCCGAATCTTGCTCTAGAGGTGGACCTGGGCAACGACTCTTGCCATGACCCGGTTGTCTGCACTTTGAGCAACGTTTTGGACCTCGTCGGGCACGTTGTGATTGATCCATTTCATTGTGAATCCTTTTGGTCCTAGGACGACCTTTGGTGCGCTTTAAGTGCAACGGTGGGATAATCAACTTCCCATTGTCTACAGGCCAATAAGCTTCATCCGGCAGGGGCTGAAACTTGACGAGTAGGAGTTCCTGATCGCCTATTCCGTGTAGTAAGGACTAACCAAACTGTAAGCGCTGAGGGTTATCGACTTAGCTAATGCCATTGCATGTGAACACAGTACTCTTCTGTTTTGATACTTTTGGCATGTACACTCTCCGGTGCGAGTTTCTACGTGTGGAGTAACAGATTGACGATTATGCCCACGTCTTCCTCCACCCCAAATACCTGTTTGCACAGCAAAAATACCTTCA